TTTTGAGTTCCAAGTATATTTTAGATATGAGACCCTTGTCCGTTGTACGGCTAGTTAAGATCTCCCGTGATTGGGTAATTTTTTAAGGTTTGTGATTCTAAGGATTAATCTAACAGATAGTAGGACTTTATATATTTCTAATCTTGGAATAAATCTTGTTAGTATTTAATTTAATAAAAATGTTTAAGAAAGAAAGCTTGAAAGTATATTTATTCATTTTAGGAAGAAGTACTGGTATTATAATTAGCATTTTACTGATTTTTGTCCTAACTAAAATAAAACATTGCCATTGAATGATGAAATTTATACTTGTCTTTTCATTATTCCCATCTTTTATCAGTTCCATCTAACATTTAAATTTTGTGATATGTGTGAGGAAATAAGTGTATTTGGGGGGAAATTTGGAGGAAAGAGAGAGAACAGGAAGACTGAAACTTGAATCTGTAAAGCAACAAAACTGAAAATGTAAAGCATGTAGTGTTCATTACTTACACACACACACACACACACACACACACACACACACACACACGGAAATCAGCTAGACTAAAAGTTTCTCAACAAGTGTGACATTTTTCTGATTTTAGTAGTAATAAGATTACATATAGATTTAAAATCATGTGGCTTTAAGGAAAACAAATGATTAAGTCAATGAGCCCTGATAGAATGAAGAAAGACTTGGCTCTACTGATCAGTCCTAAACCATTGACTGTTGCAAGAATGTTTTCATATGACCTAACTAATTGATTTTAGCTACTATTAGTAAACCATCTATAAATTTACATCCCCAGCATGCTATTAATATTGAATAACACAAACTATGCATATATTTTTCCTAGATGACCTGTTTCTACTAAGACCCAAAGGACTAACAACTATTATGTTTGGGGAGAGGGAATCCTCCCTGATCAACTAAATAAGCCTTTTAGTTAAGGTCCTAGACAATCCAAATATGCTGCTAAAATAAGAAATATATATCAAAGATCTATATTTGTCTTAATCAGTCCAAAATAGCATTAACTATGAGAGTATCCATACCATAAGCTTGCAATATTTTGATAATGACACATATTCCTCCATTATGAATGTGTACATATGCCCCTTGGGATTTCAGAGAAGATCTGACTTTCAGCTTAGCTGTTTTTTCTATCATGTTGATTTACATTATGAAGTTAAGAATTTTTTATTGTGAAAATACCGTACAGAGGGGTTACAATTACATGGGCAAGGTAATGAGTACATTTCTTATCAAGCATTGTTGCCTCCTCCTTTGTTTCCCCTTCCTATCCCTTCCCATCTCCCCCTGCCACACACACCACCCCCCACCAAAGTTGTAAAGTTCATTTTTCGACATAACGTCTTGTACACCTTATTGTTGCAATGGGTCCACCTGTATCCCTATTTAAACAATTTGCTTTTTCCCTTCCCTTCCACAAATTATACCAACATCAAATACAGTGAAAACAGGGGTTATAGAGACATACAAAGCAACAAAGAAATATCTTATAAATATGTTGGAAACAATAGCAAACAAGAAAAAACATTTGAGTCCTTATCTTGGGGTTCAATTCACTTAACATCAACTTATCTAACCATTTCTGCTTGTCTCAGACATATACTAGTTATTGCAAATAAGGGAAACCGTGGGACCTATGTTTCTTTGGGCCTGGCTTACTTCACTTAATATAATTTTTTCCAAGTTTTTCCATTTCCTAACAAATGGGGCAATGTCATTCTTTCTGATGGAGGCATAGAATTCCATTGTGTATATATACCACATTTTCTTGACTCATTTATCTAAGAATTTTTTATTGTTTTTTCCCCAAGGAATTTGACATTCTTTTTAGTTTCATGTCATACACAAACATGATTGTCATAATTTAAGGAATTTTTATAAACTTACTAAATAAATCAAACAAGGTAAAACCGAGAAAAAATCCTGGTAGCATGGTATTAGGGACCCACCTTGATTTTGCAATGACACATTAATGATCTACCTTTATGATTCATCGCATCCAAACTTACCAATTATTCCTGTTTGATGGATGACTTTGACTTCTTAAATATAACAGTGAGATGTTTTTAATTTTTAATTTCCTCTTATCTGAACACATTTAACTGTTTGTGGCCATTGTAACTAACATTTCTAGTATGAGGATCTTTTTTTAAAATCAGTAGATGAATAGCTCAAAGTTGATCAATTTGATTGATCAACTGCTCATTGATTAATGTCATTTAATAAGCAACATTGTGGTCTACTTAAAAATATATGACTCTGTCTCAGGCAATCAGAAGCTGATAACAAGTACTGAAATTTTGACAAGGAGTTAAAGACACAGCCATGTGTGTAGCAGTAATTCTAACACAGGAGATAAAACAGACCTTCTAATATTTTCAGGAAAAATAAAAGACAGATAGAACTTTGGAAATCTCCATAAAGAATAAAAAAATGTCCAGGCATTTCCTAAAATAGTTATAGCCAAATGAAAATTACCACCTCATCAACTAAACTACTACATAAAGTTATTTTATCAGTCGTATCTTGAACAACCTCTTTTTCTTTTATGAAACAACTGAACATTTTATTTCTAAAAGAAAACTTATAGCTGGGGCTGGGAAGGTAGCTTAGTGGTAGAGCACTTGCCTTGCATGCCTGAGGCCCTGGGTTCGATTCCTCAGCACCACATAAGCAAAAAGAAAAAAAAGCTGGAAGTGGATCTGTGGCTCAAGAGGTAGAGCGCTAGTTTGAGCTGAAGAGCTGAGGGACAGCACCCAGGCCCAGAGTTCAGGCCCCACAACCGGACGCCAAAACAAACAAACAAAAAACTTATAGCTAAATAGTGTGAAATGTATGTGTGTTTGTACTGGAAACCTTAAGCAATATAAAAGTAAATACTGAATCCTTTTCTATTCTTCAAGTGACTTACTAATATTTGAGTAGGTATGTTTTAAGTTTATTTTTCTATGTACATAGAAATGAAATAATATTGTTGGTCAATATTCTTTATATTTTTGACATAAATCACACTCTTATTAGTATACAGAAGTCAGTTTTATTAGCTCAGATATTTAATCAAACCTCTGTTGTTAATTCTTTCCTGTTTTCCTCCATTTCACCCAATAGAGCATCAAATCATTTCATACACATATTTGTGCACATAGAAAGATAGTTTGGAAGATATATCCTGGAATTAAAATTCCCCAACACAAAACATATTGAAAATAGTAAATCACTTTAATATTTGAAAGTTTGATATTGTTGATATGACTTAATATTTTATCAATATTTTTATTCTGAAAGAGTATTAAGAAATAACATATTTTATGTTATTG